ATTCTTTAATACCAAGTCTCTCATTCCTGCTGTGAAACGCTCGTCGTCAGGACCATGCGTATTCACATTAAACATGGCCTGCCGCATCCCCAATTCCCGAAGTACCTGCACCAGCTCGGCGTACGTCTGCCATCCGCTTACTGTCTCCGGCACATCTCCCGCATCAGCCCATACTGTCCGTATGGCAGCCATTATCCACTCCAGGAGGGTGTGGTCGCCCTGGCCATACCGCCGGCTGTTCTGCAGCCTCTGTCGCAAGGATGGGTGTGAAGTCACGGAGGCCAGTCTCTCCATCTCTTGAGCCGTGCAAATAATCCCATCCACCCCCAGGTCCCATAAACGTAGCAGCCAGGCTGCCAAGGGTTCCCCTGGTTTCTGGCGGAACTGTTTGCCCAAGTCCACCAGTTCCGCCTGGGTGTAAGGTCGGTAGGTAGTAAATTCCGTCATCTGTGGTGGTCCCGCTGCCTGACCCCCTGGGGCCATGGGTCGCTGCCGCTTCATTTTCTGAGTCACCACCAGGCGGGCCCGGAGCATGGGCCCAGCCTCCTCCTCCTCTCCAGAGGAGTCCGGCATCTCCGGGGTGGCGGGTTGGTTTACCACTGCCGGTTGGGACTCAGGCAAAGGTTCAGCCTCCCTCTCCTCCTCTCCTGAGCAGGGGTCAGGCATCTCTGGAGTCGCAGGCTGGTTTGCCACCCCCGGCTGTGATTCGCGCAAAGGGCCAGCCTCCCTCTCCTTCCTGAGACGGAGTCTGGCATCTCGGGAGGGGTGGGTCGGTTTCTCCGAACTTCTTCCTCCAGAATCCTCAAATGTTGTTGCTGTATCCGCATCTCTTCTCGTATCTCTTCTCGCATCTCATCCAGTACTTGCTGGATCCTAGATTGCTCTTTCCGCCTGGACTCTCGCAGAGCCGTGAGAAACACCCATCCCACGGCTCCTGCCGCCTCGCGGGCACTGCATCCACTCAGGGTTTCTTCTATTTCATACAGGGCCTGTTCCAACTGCCCCGGGGATCCATCTACCTCTGGCCATTCCTGGGGAGGTGCCCACTGGGTGAGGAGATCGGCCACCGGGTACCATCTGCTCGTGGCCGGCCATCCGGGGATCCCTCTCCAGATTTCAAAGGGTTTCGTCTGCGTAGAGCTGTCCTGCCTCGAACCGTCCTGCCGTCTACGCCAGTTGTAAAGCAACCAACCCATTCTGAGCAGGTTTATGAACGGTTCTAGCAGCCACATGTTCTTCGCCATGGTTTGTAGTCACTCCAACACTCCTCTGTACACGCCACTCCTCCATCCTCGACACCGCACTACCACCACCCCGCACTCTGCTGCACCACCCTTATAAATCAGTCTCTTAGCTCAGGTGGACCCACTTCAGGTGCCCGCCATCAGGCATGCACCCAGGATCACAGGGCTCCCTCATCTATCCTGATGGCAGAAGGGCAGAAAAGCCTGATACCTTGTACCTTACCCTACACCAGCACAGGCTTGGGCATGCCCACACTTGCCCTGGGATGTTTTATGCAGGGCTCCCTTTGAGCGTCTCTGTCCTTGACCACACTCAGCTGTTAATCTTTACTAATTACGGGCTAGGGTATAAATTGCTCAACAGACTGGTCCAATTACATTTGGGCTCCTTTGATGGGATAGTTTTGAGGTCAGGCTTCAGATTTGTTCTGACCCCAGGAGGGCTCTTTCTAGGCTTTCCTCTTCCCTGGCTCTTGCTGGTAAATTAGTTTTACCACAGTTTAGCTTTCATTCCTAATGATTCTACCAATTTCCTCTTAATTGCTTTTAACCACAAAATTCATTATTTTGAAAGCCATAGGCTTCAACTTCTTCATATTCTGTTGCAAATTGGTTTGCTTCCTTTGGGGAAAGATGCGGTGCCTCTGTTTTATGGCCTGCTTCGTCCCCTGGGAAAGATCTCTAAGCTGTGGATCTGGAGCTGGGAATGGGGATTATAGTGAACTTTTCAATAAGTGATGCTTTTGTCTTAAAAGTCAAGTATTTGGTGGAGCAGGAGAAGTAGTTGGAAGTCTTGCTGTGCTTCTCCTCATGTGGACTTCTTACTAAATTGGGGTCCCAGTATTTTCAGCAGTGCTGTGGTCTTACAAGAAGGGACTGCACGGGAGATGGGATCCCATCTTGTCTGGAACTTAGCCTCAGCAAAGGTAGTTGGAGGTAGCATAAGAAATGCTTGATGTCTGCCCTTTCTAGAAGGTAAAGAAGGAACACAGTTTCCTTGGTTGCACCAGTCTGGAGTGGAGTTTCTGTCCTTGCTGGCATAAGAGGGGAGAGGAAAGTTCTAGGTCTTGGTTTAAACACCATAAACTCTCACTGTCCTTACTAAGTTTTAGTAGGTTTTCTGGAATAAATGTTCTTTCATTTGCTGTGTATCGTAGGACCATTTCCAGATAAATAGGCGGCATTATAAAAGATTATTTACACCAATTTCAGTGGGAAGCAGATTCATAGAGCTGCTCATGCTATCATGACAAGAGTAGAACTTCTAACAAACTTTACTAGTCAATTCTTTAAAATACCATTCCACCTCTTACAAATCCTGGCAGTTGACCATAGTGCTGAGGCTTACAATAGGGGAGGAGGCGGGAGAGGGGTCAAAACAGGAGCGGGAATAGCACAAGGGACTGTGGTGATGGATAGCGGGTGTTGTGGTGGCGGGAGAACTACGGGGACTACACATGAGGGGAGAAAATCAAATACTGTCCAAAAATTAACAATGATGTAAAAAATTAATTAAAAAAACCCAGTAGCATGAAAAAGGGCATTGAATGCCATGTTGATTAGTATCCAGTCAGATCTTCACCGTGAACATCGTACCATTATCTGGGTGTCAGTTCCCACTTATGGATCTTGGATTCAAGAACTACCATTATGTTGCCAGAACCCATCACTGACATGAATGTTACTTCATAGATGGAATATATTTCAGCTTGCCAGCAAGAGCCACAGAATGAAAGCAGAGGACCCATGTACTCCATGTGTTAGGAATGGGCAGGGCCCATTTCTTGAGCTCTATGTTTTAAGTATTTGTAATCCTTCTCTGTATTGTAAGGGAAGACCCACATGAAAAAGACCACAATTAGGAAAGTGGGTGTGGGACAAATGTATAACCAGGAGCCTGTCTGGTTCCTTTGAAACTGCCATATGGTTGACTTGAAGCAGCACAAAATACCAGAAAGGGAGTCTGAAAATTCATGGGGCAAAAAGACAATCCATTCATAACATTTGTAAAATTTGCAAGGTTCAGGGCAAGCTTTAATTAGAGGCCTACATGCCTCCAAATTATTTGGTAAGTTTAAATCAACTAATAAACTGTTAAAATATGTTAAATCTGCTTGCACAGCCAATATGCCTGTATAATGAGCTGAAAAGTCAGGGTTGAGTTTAGAATTCCTAGACTTCTCTGCCTTTTGTGCCTTCGGTGTGGGAAGAACTGTCACTACTGCCCAAGATGTGACATCGCAGCAGGCCGCAGACACTTGCCAGACCCCTTCTCTTCCCACCCTTTTTTCCATCCCCCTCCTTTGATGACTCTTCTGTGTATTTGTGGACACCCCAACTCACTCATCATCCATTTCTCATGTACAGCCAACCCATAGCCACCTGGAAGTACTTACACCAGCAGTGCAGTTATGTCTTCAAAGTTCAGACCCAATAAAGAATGGACTGGTGTTGGAAATAGGTCTGGGGACATTTGAACAAAAGGGTCAGGCATCCTGGGTATCTCAAGGATGATATGGAGGGGCTAGGACGTTTGAGTGTGGATATATTCCACTGGCCTTACAAATTGGGCTCCTGTCCCCATGGGAAGGCCACAGTAGGAATAAAGATTGGAGTTACGGTGCTACGAGACAAGGAAGTCCAGTAAACACTAGAATCTGGAAAGGCAAGGAGGAATCCCCCCTACACCTTTGGAGGGCTGATGGCTGTCTCATCAATCTGAATTCAGACTTACGCAATTAAAACTCCAGAACTACCATGATCAGCCTTTAGAACTGTCAGGGTATAAATTTGTTGTTTTCAGCCACCCACTTTGTGGTAATTTCTGTGGTTAGGATATACACAGAAAAATGGGCCCTCACCACTTGAATTCTCTATTCTCCTTCTCTAGTTTATGCAAAATAAGCTCTTTATTGTTCTTTTGTGATTATCCACATACTACATACTTCATGTGCATGCATAGCTCTAGTGTATATGCATATATATGTGTGTGTATAATCTCCATAATCACTGATCATTTTTCATGTCTTTAAGCTTCTTATACATGGCGACAAATGATGTCAGTGTTTGTATCCTTCTGGAATGAGTTTGTTCTCTTATCTATTTTTTACACTGCCACCACCCAATCTTCGCCTGTTTAGCTTTTTCTCTGTGTCCCAGGCCCTTGAGAATTTTCTTCCCCAGTCCAGTCCTTATTGCCGTATGCCATTTACTTGAAATAGTGTCAAGTCACTGTATAAATGCTAGTACTACCATAAATAGGCTCAAAATTTCCCCTATTGCTCTAAATGAGTGGTTCTCAAAGTTTGAGATTAAGAATCTCCTGGAGGAATTGTAAAATTATGACTGCCAGCTTGGTATTAGAATTTCTAATTCTATAGGTTTGGAGTGAGACCTACTGATTTGCATTTCTTTTCAATTCATTATTTTAATTGAAGTAACATCAGGATCTCCCCATCAGGTATCTAATTTGCATTTCTAACAAGTTCCCAACTTGTGCAAATAATATTTGGCCCAACAGCATTTTAGTCTCATGGTAAGCTAATTCATCCACTAAATTAAAAAAAAAAATGCAGGAGCATTAATTACATAAATTATTTATAATTTGCTAATTTAACTAATTAGAGGATGCAATTAAAGAACTTAAAGCTACCATTTCAGTGGTAGTAAGGTGGGTCAAAACAAAAAAGGAAGAAATACAAAGATAAATTTGAATCAGTATTACTTATCTAAAAAATCTGCAACTTATTTGTTTCAAACAAACTTTTATTTTTAACCAGAAAAAAATGATGTCGGATATATCTGAAAGACATAAAAACTCAGATATTAGTGGATGTCACTTTTTGGCTGATGAACTTCAAAACAAAAGCACTGTTGATAAAATTCCCATGAACAGAAAATCTTGAATTCTTTCTTTCATCCACGATTTTCTATGTCTTCCAACTGTAAATGCAATAAGAGGCAATTAATAATTGAACATCATTAACATATACCAGTGACTTTCTAAATCAATGATTAGTCAATCCTATGTCTGCCATAATAGGAGAAACTATTTTTTGCTCTTGAAGCCTAGACCCTTTTAACCCCCACCCATAAGCACCAAGGTACTATTATATAATCTGATGTCTTCAATTCTCTGACCACACCAATTTTCTCACACCTGTCAAACACTAAAAATCTTATTTTAAGAGTCCATTTTGGTATTATATATTTCTTTCCATTATCCTGTGCTGTACCATAAACCACACTCTTAACCTCCCAGGTCCAACTTTGCATATTTATAAAAGGAGAAAGAGAAACAGAAAGAAAGAATAGATAAGATATAGATGGCCTTATCAACTTGGTGAGAAACAATCTATGACTAAATTTCATTGCTTTTGATTGTCACATGATATACAAAAACTTACAACTGAATGAATAGTTAGGTATCAATCATTAAATGTGGTCCAAATCAAAATTCTCATTTTATTCTCAAATGAATCCTCTCCTTGTTAGTGTAATAGACCATATTTCTGTAGCTAAATGATGAAGACCTGTTCATGTTGCTTTAACTCTTTGTTCTGGTAACAATTCTTGTCTCTGCTACCAGGTCTGATAAAATTCTGACCTGTAGAAGTCTTAGAGCTATAGCTCAAATAACCTGTATCTGTGACTGAAGTGCATTTCAGAATATGTTGCATCCTATACTAACATACAATGTTAAACTGATTTGTAGAACTTTCTGTTTATTGAGAAAATTAAAAAACATAACTGATGTATGTCAGAAATGGTTGGGCAATACACAAAGTTATAAAGAGATACCTGGATTCTCAGAAACTGCTTTTTTCTGGGTCCAGACCTTTTTCTGGTTCGTCATTTCTGATCCCTTCTTTTTTCTCTTCTTTGCCTCTAGCTTCTTGGGCCTCATCATCAGATTTTTCACATTTATGTTCATGTGCTTCTTTAATGTAGAATAATACAGATTTGGGGACCAGAACTTCACGGAAAAAATAGCCCAACTTATAATCAGTGGCAACATCCAGTCCTCTACTCTCAGGAGTACCAGAAGAATAGAAATAGGTGAAGAAAGACTTTCTGGGCACCTGCTTAATAGTTGATACAATTCCATGGCTCTCATATTTCTGTAGTTTGATAGACTTCATTGTGATATCTTTTCCTTCTTTCCAGTAAATCATGCACCCTGTGCTGTTGATTATTTTAGGCCCTTCGGATAAGAAGGGATCAGAATCATCTGGGTCTGACGTCATCCGGTATGTTTTTGTCAAAACTTCATTGAAAAAGTATTCATTTGCCTTAAAGACAAATTCTACGGTGAAGCTCATTGGCTCCCGAACCCTTGGAAATTTAATTTTCACATCTTTCAAGTACTCCAGTACCAATTCATCTTTTTTTCTGATCATCCTGGCAAGAATCTTCACATTTTTAAAAGCCTTCAACCAAAAGTGAGGTATACCAGGTGTTCCCTCTTTTCCTTCAGTGTCTATTTCCTTTTCACCCCATGCTCCTTCCTGAACACCAGCTTCCCACTGACATTCATCTTCTGTGGGCTCATAAATTGCATTAATGATTTCAGATCTTTTATAAAAGAGAGGTTGGTAGAAGGCAGCATACCTTTTCTCAAGATCATAAAGGTCTTTATAGAATTGGGCTTCAACTTTTGCACATTGTGCCTGAAGCCTTTTGAGAGCATGCACCCTTCTCTTAACCACTGAGGGCAAGTGTTGAGTATGTCCTGCCTTTGAGCAGGATCTATCATCAGGGGCTGCAAGAGTGAGAGGACTTGGCAGCCACTTGCCATAGGCTGAGGTCCCGACCCCATCAGATGCACAGGCTCCAGCCTCCCATGACTCAGAGGAACCAACCAGAGGTTTGCACTTTTGGCCATGGGCCACTGCTACTTCTGCCTCTGCCTTCTGGTATATGGTCCCCTCTGCGGGTTCCTGCAGCATCCAGGAGGTGCCCTCTGCTGGATCCTCGCCCTCCCAGACATCGGCCTTCTTTTCCGGGTCCTCCCGTTCCCGGGGCACTGGTCCCTCTCCCAGATTGTCTGGCTCCCGGCATACGGAGCTCTCTTCAGGGTCCAAGGGCAGCCGAGAGCGGCGCCTGCCCACCTTGCGGCTTCTACGGGGCTGGGCCAGGTCATGGTCATTATAACGGGCACGGTATAGAAGGGAATGGATAAGACCCCAAAATACCGACCGAAACTGCACCATGGGGACTTCACGGATATTAGACACTTCTTCCTCCTCATCTTCCTCTTCCTCCTCACTGTCCCCACTTTCCTCTTCTTCCATGTTATCATCTCTGTCCTTTTCATCCTCCTCTTTATCTAGCTCCATATCTTCCTCCTCATCCTCCACATCATCCAACTCATCCTCCTCTTCCTCCCACTCATAGTCTTCACTCTCCTCCTCATCCTCATAATTGCCCCAATCCTCATCATCATTCTCATCCTGGTCCTCTTCCACCTCCTCTTCCCCTTCCACGAACTGTACGCCACAGTTACCTTTTACAGTGGGCTGCCCAGCCTCCTGCCAACCCTCGGGCTCCCAAAGCGCTCCGGAGACTTCCTGGGAAGCCGGAAGGGCCAGGTCCCCGGCACCTCCATCTGACCTTTCCGAAAGTGATATACGGAAACAGAGGGGCTTGGAGTTGTGGCCTGCCCTGCCACCGGCTCTATCTCGAGCACGTAGGAATGGGTCTTGCTTCTCCGTAGTAGACATGGCAGGAGAGACACACCATCCACGCTGCAAAATGAGAGAAGTGATGGGGCGATAGCAATAACTGCGGTGAGGCTGGCAACTGAACGATAGTGCCGCTGAGGGGAGACTATTGGCAGCAGTTCCTGCCAGAAGGTGGTGCGAGTGGCAGAGAAAGAGGCCGCAGAGGGCACAATGTGCCTTCTGAAGGCCCTGTGGCTGCCTCACTACAGGAAGGGCTGGGGGTAAGGAGGAGCGCAGCCCAAAAGGGCTGCTCCTAAGATGGCTGCCATGAAGGCATCCAATGCGTCATAAGGTCAACAAACGGTTGCTATAGTCCTCACGAGCTCTAAGCTCATTTGCCGAGAGTGGATGATTGACAGGCCTGATGTCCAATGAGTGATCAAGGCCTTTAGCTTCCTTTGAGGTGTTAGTGCCCTGGGTTACCCTTTAAACCCACCCAAGTCCTATTGTTTTAACTCTACCATTGCCGAGAAAACTGTCATGCCCTGCTATGGTGGTGCCCTAGGGTGTGGAAACTATAAATTGTTTCCTAGTTTCCACCTCAGGGCAGCTCATGCCATGTAGTTTAATCATTTTTTAAAAAATGTATAGTCAAATATCAACAATAGTAAAAAAAAAAAAAAACGTCAAACTTACTATAAGAGAAAGAGAATTGGGATTCATTGGTGTTATTAAAACTAGTAAAGAACATGCAAAGTTGAAATGGATCCAATCAGAGAGAAGGAAGGTGAAAGAAATAGGAACAACTGGAGTTTGAATAAACACTGCCAAGAACACATTGAACTCCAAATAATAATGAAAGAGGGAAATTTCTTAAAAGGTAATGATGACATTAAAAAGAGTAGGCGTCCTTGGATGATTTCTGAGTAAACAGGCTAAGACTTTCTGTTGCATTCATTTCCATTAAGCCAAGACCTCACGTGTAAATAATTCATAGTGAAACACTATTTCATTCTTATTCTTTTTTTTTAAATATTATTTCTTTCTTCTTCTAGTCATGTCAGAAGATTATGGTTTTTTTTAAGATTTATTTATTTTATACAAGAATTGGGGTACAGGCCAGAGATGTGGGGGATGAGAGAATTCACAAGAGACAGAGTGGGGAACAGAACAGGCAGATGGACCGAAGTACACTGCTGAGAGGAGCAGCGGGCAAGACAGGAGAGATCTGTCCCGCCATGTAGGTTTCTCCCTGGCCAGCCGGGAATCGAACTCGCGCTGCAGTGGCTGCGGATTGCCTCACAGGTTGCATCTTAACCCCTGCGCCACCAGGGAGGCCCTCATTCTTATTCTTAAAAGAATTTTTAACTCTGAAAATACTTTTTGTTTTTAAAAAAGCATAATAAGTAATGAGGAAGTATCACATTTCATAAAACCAGTACCGATAGATCCTTTTCATCACTCCACCCAAATGTTAACAATATTTTGAATTTTGCTCTGATACCTTCAAAGAAGAGAGCATGATGTTGTCATAAATCATTGCTTTAAATCTAAAATGAAATTTAGAAACCTTCTGATCCAATTCCTTCATAAAGACAACAAATTGAGTCATAATCCCAATCTAGGGTCTAAAATTGGTTTCATCAGTTACCCTCTGGTGCGACCTTGGTGTGTTCTTTATTTCTAGGCCTTAGTTTTATCATCTGTGAAGTTGGGACATGACACCCTGACTACCTCAAACTTACTCAAATCATCAAAAAAGGATAATGAACATTAAAACTACTTTTCAGCATTCCATATGTTGTACATTTATAAATTATATCAATAATATTTTTCTTTTATTCTTGAATTATTTCAAAGAAACCATCGATTAGTCTCCTGAGAATTCAGAATTAACCCTCTAGTTTGGTTTTGTTGGAATAATTTTTTTTTTTCAGATACAGGCATATGGGGTTTAAGAACTAATTCCCAAATGATTGTGTTTAAAATTATGAGTCTCACTTTTATTTTAAATAGCTCAGATAAGTCTTGAAGAGATTTCTGTACTTATGTCCATTGCATCATTCACAATAGTCAAGATATGGGAACAACCTAGGTATTAGGTGACTATCGATGAAGAGAAAATGTGATCTCTTGCTTCTTCCCTCCCTTCCATCCTCCCCCTTCATACATATACACAGACAGACACAATGATATGTTAATTCAGTTATCAAAAAAGGTAACCATGCCACTTGTGACAATATAGGCTGTAGGTTAAACGGTTTTCAGGCTTTTCTGCCCTCAGCCATTAGGATTGCCCTGCCTGATGGGGCACCTGCAGTTGTTACATTGTTGTAAGCTGTGTTGTTTATTTCTGAGGGCCATGACGGCAGTATTGAGATATCTGCCAGGAGGGGCAGAGGTAGGAGAGAGGCAGGAGAGAGAAGGGGAGAAAGAACACCAGAGTGAAGAAGTGCTGGGCTTGGGGGCTTGGGGGCTTGGGGGCTTGGAGGCCTACCGGCCTCCTGCCCTCCCAGTTCCCAGCACCCCTGCCTGCCATGTACCTGGTTGCTGCACTACCTGTAAAAGCTCAATAAAAGCCTGAGAAAGCCATGGAGGGCTCCAGGACTCTGCTTTACCCAGTCTGCTCAGATCATAAAGAACCAGCCCAGTGGCCATCCTGCCCCTACATGGGCAAACCCAAAATGTATCATACTAAGTGAAATAATCCAGGAAGAGAAACATAAGTACAGTATGTTATCACATTTATGTGAGAATATAAAAGTATCTAACTCATAGAAATAGTGAAATGATGGTTGTCGGGAAATGGTGGTTGGGGTGTAGGGACAAGGAGATATTGGTCAAAGGGTGTAAACTTTCAGTTTTAGGAGAAATAAGTTCTGAGGATGTAATGCACAGAATGGTGACTTTAGTTATTAATATTTACTTGTATACTTGTTATTTGTTAAGAAAGTTGATCTTAAGTGCTCTTACCACAAAATAAAATAGAACTACAATATATGAGGACATAGATTATGTTAATTTAAATGATTGTGCTGATGGTTTCACAATGTATACCAATATTGAATCATCATATTTTACACCTGAAATCTATGCAATTTCATATATCAACTATACCTCAGTAAAACAGGTGGGAAATATTGTCAGGGACTGAGAAAGAGGTATCGACGTCTCTGGAAATAAGAGGTTCAAAGTATTACTGGAGAAAAGGCAGAATGTGAAGTGAATCTATAACTAAGGAATCTTTACATGCAATATTGACTACAAAGTGTGTAACTGAAGGAGTCAAGAGGGGTCACAGTGGGTGGGCTTCTCTTAGGAAAAGAGGAGGGATGATTTAAGGTGGACTTCAAAAGACAGACAGCACTCCCCTCCATCAGTAGGATAGTTTTTACTTTGCCCCATGAAAATACCTTTATGCTTTCAGAGCATCCTTGACTCTTTTTCTCTGGAAAACAAGGGGTTTACAGTAGAGATTTGACCTTACACTACTGTTGGAACTGGTAACACAATCTTGGTTCAGCTGTTTCTTTGGCATCTGGTGTGATCCTCAACTCACGGGACATGTGGTCAGGAAGTAAGAAAGAGTATGAACTGGGGAAATGTAGGGAAAATAGAAACATGGGAAGAAGGTAGAACTTGTATCTTTCCTTTCTCTCAGTGGAACTCATGTCAGAGTTTGTCTGTCTTCAAGCTCAAAAATTTTCTGCCATGCATGACCTGCAGGGGAAGTGAAATTCTTTCCACAAAGTCCCTCTTGAACCTGATCCAGGAAATGAGAGAAGCTGGAAGAATATGATCTGGGTAGCTGGAGCTCTATGCCTGGCTCCTGCCATTGCCAGTGAGGGAAGCCAGGGAGATGCACAAACAGGAGTGTGGTCCACAACAGGGCGCCTGACCTACATCGGCCTTCCAAGAGTAAGACATGGCTAAGATTGTGGGTGAAAAAAATCTAGCCATCAATATTTTGGCTACAGACCTATTTAAAACTGAAGGACAAAAACAAACTAAAAATGATAGGATGGAATAAGATCATATAGGAACTGCTATTCTCCTATCTGATATGCTAGACTTTCAAATATAAAAGGTAAGCAAGAACAAGGTGGATACTATATAATGATCAAGGGAACAATTCACCAAGAAGATATAACTGTTATTAATATTTATGCTCCAAATATGGGAGCACCTAGTTATATAAGGCAACTATTAACAGACCTAAAACAGCATATCAACAAAAATAGTCATTGTTAGAGACTTCAACAAACCACTGATAGAAAGGGATAGATTATCCTGACAGAAAATTAACGAAGAAATAAAGGCCTTAAATGAAGTATTAGATCAGATGGATTTACTGGAAATTTAAATCTTTTATCTTAAAAGCAATGAATACAATTTCTTCTCTAGTGCACATAGAACATTTTCAAGAACAGATCATATACTAGGACATAAAACAAGTCTCAGAAAACATATGAAAATAGAAATTATATCAAGCATCTGCATAGGCCACAATGCTATAGAGCTAGAAATTAACAATAAAAGGAATCCTGGAACAAATCAAAATATATGGAGACTAAACAAAATGTCTCTGAACAAATTTGGGTCAATGAAGAAATCAAAGAACAGATAAAAAATATCCACCCGTTCTGCTCCCCACTCTGTCTCTGGTGAATCCTCTCAGTCCCACTTCCCCGGCCTACACCCCAGTTCTTGTATGCATAAATAACAGTAAATCTTAAAAATATATAGGTGGGGCCCTCCCTGGTGGCTCAGGAGGTTGAGCGCCACACTATGAAGCTGTTTGCAGTCTCTACAGCGTGGGTTTGATCCCAGCCAGCCGGCGAGAATCCCACATGGCATGGCAGACCTCTCCTGTCTTGCCCGCTGCTCCCCTCAGCAGTGTGTTTCGTCGGTCTGCCTGTTCTGTACCCCGCTCTGTCTCTGGTGAATCCTCTCAACCTCCCGAGCATCTGGCTTATACCCCAGCACTTGTATAAATAAAAAATAAATCTTTAAAAATATGTATAGATGATCTTGAGACACGTTAAGTTGGAGGTTTGCTATAGGGTGAATGAACCGGGTATAATATTTTCAGGTTCTATCACAGTTGATAGTCATTAAAAGGTATATGTCCTGCATGGTAACTTAAACAATTGTATTCTCATTTTTCACTGTGTCTTATGAATTTGGTTCACATGAATCAAATAGTTTTAGATTCTTGCCAAGTCTGATGGGTTCTGAGGTCATGTCTAGGCGGAATCAGAAAGAGAATCTGCCTGCTTGCTGAAAGAAGGCTGTGAATCTGAACCAAGAATGCAAAGAGAGTAAAG